TCATTTTCGAGTATGTCTCTTTGACTACTACGCCTACTATATAAAGGCTTGTACCCCCTCTCATTTTGGCCATTCACTTATCAAATAAATCTGAGATTTTCTCCTTTGTTCTCTTTGAACTTTTTTGATTCTTTAGGTGGTTAGCCTCTTGAATCATTTTTGGTTTATCAAGTTCAATCCATAGAACTTGACACAGCCTTCGAGTGCAAAGTTTAAATTTTCGTTAGTAGTAGTCGGGGCTTACGGATTTTTGGGAAATTCATTTGTCACGCCCTAACATCCTTTTACCTGCGTTCTCTTCTTCTTTGTTCCACCCCCTTGTTTCAAGTTGTTCTCCGAGAACCAGTTGGAGTCAAGGATCTATCCATCTGATACCGACCAAGTGTGTGCCGTTCTTTGGGAGTTCGTATCAAATCCCAAAAGCAATAGATGCATCCTCACATCCATGTAGATCATGCTTCACCTTTATCATGTTCTATGCAATGATCCAAGTGAAGCAAGCAACCTAGAAAGTTAGTCTAAACTTCTTAATCAATCTCTACCAGACCTAATCCCAAAAGCAATAGATGCATCCTCACATCCATGTAGATCATGCTTCACCTTTATCATGTTCTATGCAATGATCCAAGTGAAGCAAGCAACCTACAATGTTAGTCTAAACTTCTTAAGCAATCTCTACCAGACCTAATCTTTTAGAAAAAACCTAGATTCTAAAACTAGAAGAAAAAGATGAGTTTAAGCTTTATACAGTGGTGGAGAGGGAGAGATGGTTAGAGAATTGAAATCTACTTTGAAAAAGAGTGAAGTTTGGCCAAAGAATCTCATAAAAAGCTATAGATTTGAAAAAGTTCTTGTATCTCCTAAATCTCCAATTCTTTTGGAAGAGAATAATAAAAAGAGATTTTAATCCAAAAAGTTCCATTTTTTCTTTAAAAAGTGTTTATGGCCAAAAAGGGAAATTTTTGGGATTTCAAAAGCTTGCAGAAACTTACCTTGGCTGGATGGTTATGGAATCAGGAACCGAGAAAATTTTAAACTTAAGGGATTTTGGAATGAGCTGGATCGGATTCGGTTCAAAATTTCATAGCACGAAAAATGGAACTTTGGCTCAACGACCAGCATCCGCGGTCAGGGAACATGCGACCGCGGTGAAACCATGCTCGGCCGCAGGTGTAGTTTCTGGACTATGGTCAATACTAAGTCGGCCGCGGGTTAGTTGATCGCGACCACAGCCGATCCTCTTGCAGTTTGACTACATTTCTTCAGTTTTTTCTGGATCGAGCAGCTAAAAATCGACTCTTCTTTTTGGTTTTTTTTTATTTTTTTTTATTTTTTTTATTTCTTTGGTCGTTTTGTTTTATTGGAACACCTGAAAAAGAAAAAGAGAAAACATAAATTGAAAAAGAGAAAGAAAATTCAAGAAAAGTGTACCTAAGTAGGTTGCCTCCCATTAAACGCTTTTGTTTTAAGTCGTTTTAGCTCGACATTAGTGAGGAGGATCAGGCAAGGGGGTATGGCACTTTCTTAGGTATGTGATATAAGACTCGGTGAGAGGCTTATATGATTGCGGAATCGGTGGCTTGGTGGGATCAACATGCTGGCTATGATGCTCTCTCGTATAGATCAGTGGATGGAAGTAGTAAGACAAGGCTTGCTTCCACAAGACTTGAATCGAGATGGGATCTGTCAAGCTGGCTTTAACGCTCTCTCTTCAGGGATCGGTGAATGGTTTTGAAGTGGATCGAAGGCACCACAGAATTGATGTGAGGGTCTCTGATACTGCGGACTTGACTCTCGGTGAATCACACACACAAGAACAATCAAAGATGAACTCTTAAGCAAAGCTAAGAAGAACTGTGTTATTTTATTGATATCGGTAAAAAGGTGAGTACAACAGCTGCGTGTGGGAATTTATAAATGTATGTCAGCTTTGACTCTCTAAGGTTCGATACTTAACAAGAAAAACAAAACTAAAGACTCAAAACAACAGGACTTGCAAAAGGAAAATAAAAAGAAATGGCAAGGCGTCTCATTTGGACACAAAAATGGAAAGTTCACTTAAAAATAAAAGAAAAAGAAACTAACTACGTGCAACCTTTTCTGGACTTTTTCTATGGACCTCTGAGGTTCTCTAGCGTGTTAGACACCAGTAGGATACTTCCATGTTACCTGCACAGATCGTATAAATTGAAAATACGTGGTTATGGCTGGTTATGAGTTTGCTTGTTCTAGGGTTGATTGAGTCGCGTCCCGGTCCATGCAGCTTGTTAGTCTTGATCTTTTCTTCATCTTGAGTCCTGCTAACGTCGTGTCCCGTGAGTTCTTCGAGTATTTTTACGTGTCATGCTCATGTCCTTCTTCTTGTCCCATTTGCTCGCTATCGGCTTCATGTCTTGAGACTGTTGTATCTTGAAGCTCCGAGGCGGTCTCTTCGAGATTCTTGGGGTTCCGCGCTCCATTTTCTACCAAATAAACATGCATACCTTGCTCGGTTTGAGGCTGGTCTTCTTTGAGACTCAAACGTGCAAGGCCTTCCATTATGTCTAGTTTGGGTACTTTGGGGCTGTCTTGTATGTTGTGCTCTTGTGAACCAGTTTTGAATGCATCTCCAAGCTCCATGGTGCTTAGTAGGGCTTCCACGGCCAAGCTGAATCCTTCCCTCAGCCTCATTGCCTTGGATCGAGTCATTGGTGCTTCTTTGAGCTCGGGAACAAGTGTTTGGTTTGATTCTGGTTTGATGACCTTATCATTCTATCCCTCTTCAAAATGTTTTGTCCTCAAAACTGTATCACCTGCATCGTAAGGAGACAAATCAGCAACATTAAAACTATGGGAGATATTAAACTCACCTGGAAGTTCCAATCGGTATGCATTGTCATTGATCTTTTCTAGAACTTTTCAAAGTTCATCTCCTCGGGGTGCAAGCTTTGAACTCCTTTGTTATGGGAATCTTTCTGGTCTCATGTGTAGCTAAACCCACTCTCCTGGTTCGAATACAAGCTTCTTGAGTTCCTTGTCAGCCCTCCTTTTGTATTCCTCCGTTTTCTTCACTATGTTATCTCAGGCCTTCTGATGTATCTTCTTCACAAACACCCCTTTCTTAAGACTGTCTAAATTGACTTGTCAGCCAGTGAGATGGGTGAAAGATCCAAAGGCGTTAATGGATTAAAACCATACACAACTTCAAAAGGAGACATCTTAGTAGCCGAGTGAGTACCATGGTTATAAGAGAATTCAATGAAAGGTAAACAATCTAATCATGTTTTTAAATTTCAACCAAGAGTGACCCTAAGTAAGGTAGATAATGTACGGTTTAACACTTCAGTTGTCCATCCGTTTGAGGATGACTAGTTATAGAGAATAGAAGCTTGGTGCCAAGCTTTCTCCAAAGGGTTCTCCAAAAGTGGCTTAATAAGTTAGAGTCTCGGTAAGAGACAATCGTTCTTGGTACTCCATGTAGTCTCACCACCTCTTTGAAGAACAAATCTGCAGTTTGTGTGGCATCATTAGATTTTTCACAGGGTATGAAATGCGCCATTTTTGAAAAGCGATCCACACAACAAAGATCTAGTCTTTGTGCCTGATCTTGGGCAAACCTAGTGCGAAATCCATAGAAATATCCACCCATGGTGTGTTAGGAATAGGTTAAGGTAAGTATAAGCCCTGAGGATGTAACCTGGACTTGGCCTTGTGAAAAGTAACACAGTGTTAACAATGTCTCTCCACATCTTTCTTGAGGTGCGACCAGAAGAAGTGATCATTTATTACGGCCAGAGTCTTGTCAACTCCAAAGTGACCCATGAGAAATCCACTGTGTGCTTCCTTCAGCAATGGCTCCCTCAAAGACCCTTGGGGAACACAGAGCCTCTTGTCTCGGAAAAAGAACCCATCGTGCAAGTGGTATAAGCTAAAAGCTCCTTTGCCATACCCTTGATAAGCTTCTCCGAATTCTGGATCATCTTTGTATAGCTCCTTAATGTTCTCAAACCCGAGTACCTTTGCCTCAATAGTAGAGATCAATGCATGTCTTCTTGAGAGTGCATCGGTCACTACATTCTCTTGCCCCTTCTTGTACTTGAGCACATAAGGGAAAGTCTCTATGAACTCTTGCCACTTAGCATGGCGTCTTTTAAGCGCGGTCTGTCCTCTTAAGTGCTTCAAAGTTTTGTGATCAGTGTGAATGATGAATTCCTTGGACAACAAGTAATGTTGCCAAGTCTCCAATGCTCGGACTAAGGCATATAACTCCTTGTCGTAGGTGGGGTAGTTTAGCATGGCTCCATTGAGCTTTTCACTAAAGAACACCACTGGTCTCTTTCTTTGATGTAGCACAGCTCCAATTCCCACTCCTGATGCATCACACTCCACCTCATACATTTCATCAAAGTCAGTTAGGGCTAGAACAAGTGCTTGTGTTAAGTGCTTCTTCATGGCTTCAAAGGCTGCATCTTGAGCTGGACCCCATGAGAATGGCACGTTTTTCTTGATCACTGCGGTGAGTGGGGCTGCCACCATGCTGAAATCTCGCACAAAGTGTCTGTAGAAACTGGCCAAACCATGAAAACTCCTGACATGACCGATTGTAGGTTGTGTAGGCCACTCTCGTATTTCCTTGATCTTCTCCTCGTCTACTTGTAACCCCTGTTCACTTACTACAAAACCTAAGAAAACAAGCTGGTTAGTACAAAATGTGCACTTCTTAAGGTTAGCATATACGCCTTCCTTGCGAAGTGTTTTAAGCACTAATTCGAGGTGTTGAAGATGATCATTAAGGTTCTTACTATATATAAGTATTATCATCGAAATAAACAACTACAAATTTACTTACATAAGCTCGAAGAATCTGGTTCATAAGGCGCATGAAGGTGCTTGGTGCATTATATAAAGCCAAAAGGCATAACTAACCATTCATACAGACCTTGTTTGGTCTTAAACGCGGTTTTCCACTCGTCTGCTTCACGCATTCAAACTTGGTGGTATCCACTCTTTACGTCCACCTTTCAGAAGATTGTGAATCCACTCAACTCGCCCAACGTGTCGTCTAGGCGTGAAATGGGGTGCCGGTACTTGATGGTGATGTTGTTGATGGCACGGCAGTCCACACACATTCTCCATGTACCATCTTTCTTTGGCACTAAGAGAACTGGCACAGCACAAGGACTAAGGCTCTCACGGATATAGCCTTTGTCCATGAGGTCTCGCTCGTGCCTCTCCAACTCCTTAGTCTCCTCGGGATTCATCCTATAAGCTGGCTTATTGGGCAATGCAGATCTGGGAACTAAGTCAATTTGGTGCTCTATTCCACAAAGTGGTGGTAAACCTGGAGGTGTATCTTTGGGAAACACATCTCTAAACTTATTCAATATAGTTTACACTTCGGGTGAGATCTCAGAGTCACCTATGCCTGTGCTCAAAGATTCTTTAAACATCATTAGTAGCACGGTGCCATTGGCATTCATGGTTTTACAAATATCACTAGATGATAAATAAAGATTGTTTTTACTTATCTCGGCCTCTTTGTTCATATGCACTTGCATTTCATGTACCTCGGTGGGGCTAAGAGGTGAAAGATTGTACTTACGCTCCTTGTGCATGAAAGAATAATGGTTGGTGCAGCCATTGTGGTTTGTTGCTCGGTCAAATTTCCACGGCCTGTCGAGTAGTAGATGCCCTGCTTGCATTGGCACCACGTCACAAGTGACTTGATCATGGTACTTGCCAATACTAAAAGGCACTGATACTTGCTCGGAGATCTTGAGCTCGGTCTGGTTGTTTAATCACCTTAACTTGTAAGGGCGAGGGTGCTTTGTCTTCCATAGACCTAATCTGTCCACCATATACTTGCTAGCCACGTTAGGGAATGAACCACAATCTATGATAAGATTACATACCTTGTTTTTGACGGTGAATCTAGTGTGAAAATTTTTTTCTCTTTGTGCTGTTTCCTCGGGGTGAACAAGAACACTTAGTACTCGGCTAGTTACTAATAGTTCACCAATAGCAGGATATTCGACCTCCTCATTAATGCCATTAGAGTCGTCTTCTTGTTCATCTTGTGATTCATAATCCCCACTGGGTGTGATGATCATGACTCGATGATTTGGACACTCCTTTGACATGTGACCCCTGCCTTGACATCTAAAACATGTTATGTCACGAGTTCTTGAAGTATTGTTAGAAGACTTACCTGGCTCAGCTCGGTTGAACTAAAAAGTCTCGGCATTTTTGCCTTTAAACCTTGAGTCGATCTCCACGGCTTTGCCCTTGTTTACTGGTTTAGAGCTGCTGGCGTTCCATGTTTGATTCGTTAGTTTCGGTTGGTGAGGGTTGTCTTGCGCTTGATTTGCTGCTCCACTTGTAAGGCACAATGCAATAACTCGTGCAATCCACTGTATTGAGCTCTCTCCACCTTTCTTGCAATTCTATCTTGCAAGTCGTCAATGAATTGTGCCATTAAAGCCTCCTACGATTCTTCTAACTCCAGCGAGTTCATCAGCTTCTCAAATTCCTCAAAGTACTCATCTACACTCCTGTTTCCCTGAGACAACTTGCGAAAACGCTTTTGTAAGTCTTTATGGTAGTGTTCAGGTACATACCTAAGTCGTAGAAGGAAATTCATGTTGCTCCAAGTTATGACGGGTCCAAAATGTTGGCTTCTTCTCTCGGCCACGTTTCTGTCCCACCACGCCAATACATTGTCAGTAAGCTGTGCAGCCGCAACAGCCACCTTCTTGCGTTCAGCATAGACATAGCACTCAAATATGTGCTCTAGACATCTCTCCCAATCCAAGTATGCTTCGGGATCAGATTTTCCTGCAAAAGTGGGAGGTGTTAGTTTAAGATCATGATTTTGCTCTCGGGTATCTACTACCCTAGCTGGATTTCTTCTTAGAGGATCTTGTCTCCTATGTTGTTGATGTTGAAGAGGATCTGGTGGGAGATCATCCTCCAACTCGGGCATCTCGTCATCATCACTCGCATCACCGGCTAGCACTTGTGCTCGTCGAACAGGGGCTCTCCTTGGTTGTGCTTCAACTAGGTCTATCCTTGCTCTAAGTTCTTGACGAATGTTACCCATTTGTTGAGTCATGTTTCTCAGCTCTTCCCTCATTGCGGTCAGCATCTAAACAAGAGCATGGCTCAGAACTGGTTCTCCATCGGCCATGGTGCTAACTAGACTCTCTTAAATGCCCTTGTACTTAACAAAAACAACCAGCAAGTCAAAGGTACCCCCGAATAACAAGGATAACAAAGCACTAAATTATATGATCGGCACTTAGATAAAACTAGATAACTTTTTTATAAGGTTTTCAAATTATTGGGTTGATATAAACAAGAGACAACGGTTCTAAACTAGCAATGCAACAGATTCTTTTTTTTTTAATATTGATTAAACAAGCAAATAAGCTAGATTTTTCTAGGGTTTTTGGTTTTATGAATCAAAGAACTCAACGAGTGTGAACAAAACTAAAAGTGTAAAGGATAGAAAACCAATGGCAGGAACCTTTGGCTAGGATACCAAAATCATATAAGACTCGGTGAGAGACTTATATGATTGCGGAATCGATGGCTTGGTGGGATCAACACGCTGGCTATGACGCTCTCTCGTGTAGATCAGTTGATAGAAATGGTAAGACAAGGCTTGCTTCCACAAGACTTGAATCGAGAAGGGATCTGTCAAGCTGGCTTTAACCCTCTCTCTTGAAGGATCGGTGAATGGTTTTGAAGTGGAACAAAGGCACCACAGAGTTGATGTGAGGATCTCTGATACTGCAGACTTGACTCTCGGTGAATCACACACACAAGAACAATCAAAGATGAACTCTTAAGCAAAGCTAAGAAGAACTGTGTTATTTTATTGATATCGGTAAAAAGGTGAGTACAACAGATGCATGTGGGAAGTTATAAATATATGTCAGCTTGGACTCTCTAGGGTTCGATACTTAACAAGAAAAACAAAACTAAAGACTCAAAACAACAGGACTTGCAAAAGGAAAATAAAAAGAAATGGAAAGGCGTCTCATTTGGACACAAAAATGGAAAGTTCACTTAAAAATAAAAGAAAAAGAAACTAACTACGTGCAACCTTTGCTGGACTTGTTCCATGGACCTCTGAGGTTCTCTAGCATGTTAAACACCACTAGGATACTTCCATGTTACCGGCACAGATGATATAAATTGAAAATACCTGGTTATGGCCTGTTATGAGCTTGCTTGTTGTGGGGTTGATTTAGTCGCATTCCGGTCCATGCAGCTCGTTAGTCTTGATGTTTTCTTCATATTGAGTCCTGCTAACGCGTGTCCTGTGAGTTCTTCGAGTATCTTCACATGTCCTGCTTCATGTCCTTCTTCTTGTCCCATTTGCTCGTTATTGGCTTCATGTCTTGAGACTGTTGTATCTTGAAGCTCCGAGGCGGTCTGGTCGAGATTTTTGGTGTTCCGCGCTCCATTTCCTGCCAAACAAACATGCATACCTTGCTCGGTTTGAGGATGGTCTTCTTTGGGGCTATCTTGCATGTTGTGCTTTTGTGAACCAGTTTTGAATGCATCTCCAAGCTCCATGGTGCTTAGTAGGGTTTCGACGGCCAAGTTGAATCCTTCCCTCAGCCTCCTTGCCTTGGAATGAGTCATTGGTGCTTCTTTGAGCTCAGGAACATGTGTTTGGTTTGGTTCGATGACCTCATCAGTTTGCCTTCAACATCTTTGAGCTTTGTGATGGGCCTCAGGGTCGCAGGTCTTTGCAGGCCCATTGGTCCGGGGTTTTAAATTAATAAAACCCTAATGTTGAAAGTGCACAGATGTACGTTGTAAAGCTCAGGGTGTCGATACACAGGGAAGATGTCTAATCTGCAAAAACTTCAAACTGGGATAAGTAAGCGAAGTCATAAACTCATGGGGGTTTTTCTGGTTTTTGGTTTACGGGAACTTAAACTAATCCTAACCTAATATTTACGGAAAACTAAATGCAATGCAAATGAGTTGCTAAAGAATATCTAAAGGATGTTCGATTCAAACTAGGGTTCTAAACTCATAGGGGGCGACAAAGACTCCTCCAGTTTACCCTAATCGATGTCTAAGCATCTTCCGACTAGTCTCCGAGTGAAATATCTTAATCTATTTCCAGTATCTGGATTGAACTAGAATAGACACATGTATGGTTAACCAGTGGCTCTGATCGATCCTACGCTCAGAGATTAAGTCATGAATGTAACCTCATGCAGTATAAACAACTTAGAAGATATGAGATCTACAATATGGCTGAGAAAACTAGAAATCCTAATCGAACATGTATCACATCGATAACTCTTTAGAAACTTGACTCTTGGACTAATCTAACATGATGCGTGAACTGATAAAAGATATGAAATATGCATAAACTGAAATGGAAAATCTAAATAGATAGAAAGGAGAAAGAACAATGGTTCAAGGGAAGAATCCCTCTCTCCATCGCCTAACCCTAACAAAGCCAAGTTTCGTGGCTCAAAACTCATTACATGAGCACACACCCGATTAGGGCTGCTAATAAATGTATTTATAGGACCAAATGTCTTCAAGTTTTTAATTAGAGCTTCTCTGAAGAGAAATGACGAAATGGACTTTGATTTTGGGCCTTGTGGCTCGGCATATGTCCACAGCGGGTGAGAGTCCTCCGGGGCAGGTGGAATAGACTTTTGCCACGGGTGAGAGTCTTCTGGGACTAGTGAAATTGGTCAACTTGCTCTTCACGTATCTTTTAATTTGATTGCACCGTTGGATTGTCCTGATGTAAAGTGCTATGGAAATCTTGTTGCTTCCTCTTGAATGTCTCCAAATTTGAGTTGGATCAGACAGCGAGAAGGTCTTTATTTGAGGCTGGATTTCTGCCAGTCTGACTCTGAGTTAAAAATGTGGATTTATTCCATTTTGTCATGCTTTTTCATAAGTTTCCTGAAAAGAGCCTTGAAACTACAAACATAGAAAAACTATAATAAAAGTTTCTAAAACTAATTAAAACCTTTGAAAAATAATTTGAAAATAATAGTGAAAATGGGTATAAATACGGTGTTATCACTTTGTTGATTCAACTTCCTCTCCTTGTAGTACCAGCTTCTTTTCTTACATCTCAAAAATAAAGATAGTAGCAAAAAATAAAACCGATGAAAAAAGAAAAAAAAAAGATATATACAAAAAGAAAGGAAGAGAAGCGAGATTGATAGAGATTAAAAAGTGAACACAAAATTTATATGGTGAAGAGAGAGCATGATATATCATGAAGAGCATAAAAGAAGATCTAGAGATCGCATAGCTCATACCCAATGGACCAGCAACAACATCATGCGAGCATTCAGAAATCCAGTGGAGATGTTATATATCAAGTCCAGATCATTTTAAGCCTAATAAAAGCACAAGAAGCCCCATAACAAGTGATTTGTTTCTCTTGTCAAGGAGAGTGACGAAAATAGAAGTCAAAGAGCCAAGAAGAAGAAGAATCATGCGAAGTTTAGATTTATTTCAGTCAAGTATTTATAATTAATGTAGTTTTGATATTACCTTGTTTTTATCATATTGTTACTCTATATAATCATGTAATCTCTATCAGAAATAATGAATCAATCTTTTTTATAAAATATCTTTCTTGCTTGATTCACTTTTGTTCTTTGTGAGTAAATCACTTGCTGCTGTGAAATATCCAACATCACCCCTGATCCGTTTTGGTGTGATCATATCCAAGGGATCAAGAATATCAAAGGTCTTTCCGTAACTTTTGTGTGACTGTTCGATCGATTACCTATGTTTTTGGAGGTTTCCTGAATTCTTCAAATCAAAGCCTATCCAATTACCAATTTCTAGTGCCAATTCTTGGGAGGATCATATCAAATGGTATTAGAGCAACATTTGAATTTTGGTATTCTAATCTATTTCTGTTCCATCTTTCTCATCTTTTCACCATTCTCTTTTATTTTCATCTTCTCCCTTTTCATCTTCTTTAAAAAAATAAAAAAATGTTCAAGGCAAATATGTAAGTATTACATCCGTGACAGTAACTCATCACGAAGAATCCAAAGGAGACCTAGACATTCACGGGAAGGTAGAGATCAATATCATGATGATTTTGGAGGTCTCAAGTCCAAATTTCATCATTCTATGGTAAAAATGATCCATACACCTATTTGGAGTGGGAGAAAAAGATAGAACTAGTTAAAATTACCAGCACTACTCGGTGCAGGTTGTGGCTACTGGATTTTGTGAGTATGCACTTAGTTGGTGGGATAAACTGGTGAGCTCAAGGAGACGCTATGGAGAATATCCAGTGAAAAAGTTAGCAGAATGAAGGCAATTATGAGAAAGAGGCATGCACCCAACCATAACCATTGTGAACGAAAAATGTAGATAATGCAAGACTCATGATATAAAAGTGATTAGAAAAGGATGAAATTCTCCCCCCAGACTTAAATCACACTGCCCTCAGTCTGAAATAAATCGAGTTTGGATGAGAAAAAATGCATGAATGTATGGAAAAAGGTAAGCAATAGAGAACTTACTTGGACGCGGGACGCAATGTATGATGTAGATGCTGGCGGAATGCATTAGGGGATGGTGTTGATGATGCAAATGATGCTGGGGTAGATGAATGATGCATAAACTTCAAATCGGGCTGTTGACAGGAATGAACATGATCGATGCGACAAGATGCAGGAATATGCGGGAAGATGTGGGAAGATGCGGGAAGATGCAAAAATGTGATGGAAAGTGGTGGGAAGTGGTGGATGGGGTGGAATGAGACATGGTGAGGTGAAATAAGGTGAATTGGGTCAGAGGGCGATGAACACGGTCTCGGCTACGGGTAGCATTCCAGGACCGTGGTCGACCTCCTCTTCTCCTTGGTTCATGCTGGGCCGAGCAGTTGGGAATAATTGATTCTTTTTGGTTTTTTCGATTTTTTGGTTTTTTTATTTTTTAAGAAAAACCTAAAACTAAGCAAAAGAAAGAGATCAATAGAAAAAGTAAGGAAAAAGAAGACCTACAGGGGTTGCCTCCCATTAAGCGCTTTTGTTTTAAGTCATTGAGCTCGACTTGGTGTAGGAAATGGCTCAGTCCGATGAAGACCTTGTCTTAAGACAAGCCTTTTTT